AAACGACATGCATGGCAGTCGTGAATAATGATTGCCGCATGTCGGGCAACAAATCGATACGATATCCTCGTGAGATGTAATGCGAAGCGTTACGTTACGAAAATCACATCAGGAGCGACGACTCCGAGCGCGGCGATGCTGCCTCTCGTCATCGCTCGCGCGGCCGGCACTTTTCCCGGTGCAGGTAAAAGCTGTGAGAAATGAAAGGGTCGTCTGGAAAAAAGGTATCCTACATTCCTAGGTTATCATAATGGAATTAATCAGACGAGTCGACGAGATATTTCGGTACGATCAAGACCATACTGTGAAATTCTAACGAACAAGCGTCGAGAAAAAATCTCATTAAACTTCAAGAGTTAAAAAATAATAGAATTTCTGTATAAAATAGAGACGTATATATCTCTAAAGAATGTTGTGTATTTTCTCTTCCTCGATAACTATCTTAATATCGAAAGTAAAATCGAAGTTGAACTTCGTGTTGCAATACATATATCAACAATTACATTAATTAATGCCACATTCTGTGAAAACTCTGTAAATAATTTCGACGCCACAATGTATTCGAGGCTTTGATTTAAATTGCAGATATGAGAAAATAAATTGCACCGCGTGAATCGAAACGCGCTAGCCTGCAGTACACCGTTGGGAGGATGCATTCCTCCGGGAAATGTTAGGCAAATTTAAAACAAAATGCTCAATCCCTCCATTCATCTTATCCCCGAAGACACGGCCGCTTATACGACGGGGGCGAGTAGCCCTCGTGTGTAACTGAGAAGTTCATGCGATAACGATCACAATGTTCAGGATTTTCGAGGGTTGAAATACAGATATCACCCACGAAGAGACGCTATCTATTCTCGAGCGAGGCCCACCCTAGCTCCTCGACACGAATTAATATTCTACCACCGTGCAGAAATCGCCCACATTGCTGTGACAGTTCAGAAAAAAAAAAAGAAAATATAGTCGGTCGAAATGTGCGGTCCCTGCTATCGCTCAAAAGGAAAACAGTAAGAGAAAAACTCGATAGCTATCTATTTATCTTGTATTCCGATTATCTAATGAAAACATATACACATTTACACATCATTATCAAAGAGCAGATGTCGCTTGTCATTAAAAAATAATCAAGAACCAATCATATTTGATTTTTCCATTCTAAGTTTACTTTCATCTTCAGTTGTATAACTATTATATAAAAGTAATAGAAGGAGATGCGGAAGCAATATTTATATAACGTATCAAGTTTCGTGGGCTTGAAGAGTGTGTGGGATCTATTTGTAAAAGTGTTTCTCCTCTCATTTCCATAATTCATCGTAGAAGAGGCAACTCTGCACGGAGATGCGTCCACCGAGTGCACATGACTAACGCCATCTTAAATCCGTCGGATCAGCACCGTTCCCCAATCAGACTAGAACGAGAGAAAGACAGAGGAGGGCCTGTACGGTGAGGAGCGTCGGCGAAGAGCGTATCACGTTTCGTGTGAGCCGATATTTGTTACAAGTTCTTATATAGATGATGAAGAAGCGTTCGCCGTGCGCGAGCCGGGGCAGCCCGAAGAATGGGTGCTGGCACTGGGCCCTTTGAGGGCCCTATTAACGAGTGACCCCCCGCGGCCGCCGCCGCCGCCGCCGCGCCGCAGCGGACCCAATCAGCCCCGAGTCCAATTCGGGGCCCGGGCTTCGACTTGTTTTATGTAATGCCCGCGACGCCAGAATCAATTAGCCCTGGCACCCTCCTATTTTGCGTATGCATGCGCAACGTTATATGCATATAGCAGGCGAGATCCCGGCGAGCCGAAACTTATTTGCAACTGTCCTGCGTGCGCGCGCGCACGGGAACGGCCCGCTCGGTGGACGGAAAAAACCGGTTCCGGGGCCGCGGAGTTAGGCGGAAATTAAATAGCTCGGGACAAAACGGAGGATCCGAGAGCGTTGCTGCTCACCACCGACCGTGTGGCGAATTAGGATCGCTAATTTTGCCGCTCAGATCCCGCGGATTTTTGACACGACCGGCCTGCGCGATAGATCCGGCGGACGTGTTACGGCTGAATAAAGGATGGCGCCAAGTCCCTCGAATCCTTAGACGAGCTATTAAAGTTTACGTCAACGGACTAACAATGAAATTCGCGCGCGCGCGCGCGATCAATTTTGAAGATATGAAAGTATTATAAAAAAAAAGTATTCTTTTTATTAATTATATATAAACATATTATATCGTCGTGCAATAAATATTGCAGTAAATATGGCATCATTGTCGAGGAAATAAAATGAATAAGAGCCGCAATCTTCCAAAAGAAATCATCGGAAATTATCATTGTCATCCACCAGCTATTGCCATCACAGGGGTGCAGTACGTCAATGTTACACGGAGAGAAATTTTTTTTAATTT